TGATTTTTGTATTTGATCCCCTCGTGGTTAGTGATAACTTCAGTTTTCTAACTTACAATGGCAGATTATTTGCTGAAGTTTATAAAGCATCACTTTCATTGCCCACTGATACCTTCACCAGTACACCACTCTTCCCACAGACCACACACCGAGCATCTTAACCTAGTATACCTGAGACGGTTATATCAGTGAGACTAAATTGCACTGATAGTGTATAGATGCTTGAAGTTTGATCCCCATAGTCTTGTCTCATCAATGTAACGGTTTCAGTAGGACTTTCCAATGAAGTTGCCTACTGCCGGCTAACTTACAACTTCTTGACCTAACATCGTTAAAAACAAAAATATTTTCCTTTTTATGCCTCGCGATTTGTCCCATGCTGCATACGTAACAAAGCAACACTCACTCGATGAACAACATGGCGGGTTATCTGTCTTCGATCATAGATGAATGAATGGTGGCTGCTTCGATGACAAGCTTTTCTCGTAGATGGCGCATTTGCCCCATAATTTAATGGCCGGACCGTCTAGTATGTTGCATTTCAAAATAATTGTTATGGTTTCTGTTGTATGTATCCAATCAAATCGTGCTTTGTTTAGCATAAATGAACGTTAGATGGTCACGTATAATGCGATGTTTGGGACTAAAGAAATTAAAATAGTTGTTCCTTTTCGTGCGTTTTCAAAAGTGCAATTTTGTATATTTAAACGCGATTTCCGTAGTTTATATCTGACAAGACAGGATATAGTAATTAGACCCTACATGCCTGCAATTAAAATCCCAGCATTTCCTGCAAGTTAAAACCTCCCCAACAACCCACCTCCAGTTTCCCTCACCTGTCCTCAACCTGCGTCTCACAGAAATTCAATTTCAACTCTTTCAGAGATCCTAGCAGGATTGTAGGTGCTCGTGTGTTAGGGGTGGTGGGAGGTCACCGGAAATGGGAGGGTGAGCAGCGATTTCCTGGCATTGTGTGAGTAGGGAAACACTCCGGAGTCAGAGCGTCTGCTAGCATATTGAATCCGTCTGGTTCCGGTGTGTAGTTTGTTTCTCCAACGCCAGACTCAAATTTCCGGTGCTTTGGAGTGGTGTCTTTAAAACAGAAAGTAATGAAAGTGGTGCAAGTCCAGGCACTACCCGCCCTATTTGTGCCCGTCTCACTTAAGTCTCAGTAAACTGTACATCTTGTTAGTGCTGCACTGGTTGGTTGTTCTGTTTTGATAAGGTTTTAATGTTACTGGCTTCAGTTTTAGTTAGTAGATCGCTGTACTGATAGAAGGTAGGTAGTTGAAAAGATAGACATACAATAAGATATGTGGAGGTATCAGTTGGTTCAGACCTGCAGACAGACTGGTGGGGTTGGTTTGGTGATGACTGGATGAATGCAGGACTGAGTTTAGACTAGATGAGGCCCTAAGCAATATAAAGCCATGAGGCCCCTAACATTTTCAGTTACATTAGCTTATCTCAGAAAACCTTATATATACTTTATAAATATATAGATCATGCAAAAATATTGTCGTTTAATTGTTACTAAAAGAAATAATAGATAACGTGTTTGCAGAATCATGGTATATTATGTAATCTTCCTAACGGTTTTAGGTTACAATTTAAAATATTTCTTGATTTCCCAAATGCAAAAACATTGATTATGTCATAAAACAAAACAAAAGCACCCCAACAAAAAAAACCACTGCATAGAATATCCCTTTTTGGGCTATTCTCAAAATAAACGGTCCTAAATTATCAAGGCGGAAAATATACCCTAACGGGGCCTCAGTCACGTGTCAGTTGCGCACTTCTGGGGACTATAACCCCACCACCAAATTGCGAACTTCCGGCAACTAGATGGCTAGGACTCACGAGCAAATAAAATAAAGGAAGCTGCAGGAGATGCGGTAGCTGCTGCTCGTGAGTCCCAGCCATCTAGTTTAGCCCCAATCCACGTCGCGTGAGCGGCGTGGGGGATACTCGTGGTGAAAGTAATAGGAAGCACGCAATTTAAGACGACGAAAGTGCGCAATTGACACGTGACTGAGGCCCTGTTAGGATATATTTTCCGCCTGGTTAATTTAGGACCGTTATTCAGAGGATAAGCCCCTTTTTGTGTACATAAAATACCATGCTAGCTACCTGCCACACTTGAATATCAGTTATATGGACAATATTGGAAAAAGCAGGGGGGGGGGGGGGGGGGGGGAGGTATTATCATTTTCATATCCGTGTTTTACACATAACCAGCAACAAAAAGGATAGAAATATATAAATGTAAACATAACAGCTTATACTGAGAGTGACTGAGGTGACCCAGATTAATAAAAATGGAAGTGTTGAGGTAAAGCTAGCTGATTATTTTATTCAGTTTAAATAAACAAGTTAGAATAAATGAAAGCCTGAGATTATATACCCAAAAATTTCTGGAGGAAGAGTTGGGAAAAAAAACAAAAAAAATTTTTTGGATTGAAATGAGATACATTCAATTAATACAAGTATTCAAACTTGTGAGTAATATCATATATCTAATAACAATAATCATGGTTTTTATAGTTTCATACATTTTTAATTGTAAAGGGCAACCCCCATTTTTAGCGGCTAGATGCATGCTTCATGCCCAAAGATTGTAAGTTCAAATTCACGTCAAGCCCTGATTTTCTTTTCTTAAAAAATGAGCCTGACTCCCAGATCAACCTAGCCTAAAATGGATACCAGGTAAAGTCCTGGGAAGTAAAAGTGGCGGGCATGATGTTGATTTCATCACCCACCTAGTGTTAACGGGTCTATCAAATATAGTCCTAACCCTATATGCCCAGTACATCTGAAGACAAGGGTCCTTGAATTGTAATGAGGTACTTTTAATAAAACTCAATTTACGGTAATGTCTCACATTCACAAAAATAAGCTGCAGATGGGTGGTTTCATAGTAGAAGGATGAGAATATATTGACGGATACAGAGTATAATGAAGATGTCTTGAAAAACATTAACTGATTAAAAGAATGGATTATCCACATAAGAAAAGGACAATCTATATTCTTTGGACACATCATGTGAATGGGAAAACTTGAGTACACTGCAAGAAGGGAAATGTTTAAGGGTAAGAGAAGCAGAAAGAGATCATGAGAAAAATGTTTCAAGGTGATGCATCATACATCGACGAATATTAATATAAAAAATGACTGACAGTACACAGGGCAGAAGTATGTAGGCCGACATGGTTACCAGTGCTGCCCAGCATAACGTATATGAAGGATCTTTGTATATTCTCAAGTCGGGGAAGGGTAATCTGGCGAACAAATTTCTGATGAAGTTTGTGTGTGTTGGCTGAAAGGTGAAGATATCTCAGCAAAGCTGTAAATAGGTAAAGCGCAAATTACTCCACTGGGGCGAATGATAAAGAAGAATTAAAAAAAAGTATATTCTTTAGATGCTCAATTACCAGACCTATAAATGCCACAGTTAATCTATAGCAGTTTGAATTCCAGTTTGTGTTAAAAACAAGGGGAAAACTGAGAAATTGAATGGATGTTATTGCACCTCTTTATCCATCAGACACAACGATCCAGCCATTTATGTTTCCGATTTTCTTACCTCCAAGCACCAGCAGATGTTACATTAGCAACTTAATTTATTTTACGACATCTGATTTAACTCTTTGAGTCCCAGAGGGTTTAGCATTACAGGCCCAAGGGGTAGTCAAAAGAGACTAAAATCCACGCATCATGCGTTCATTGGGCTTCTAGGCAGTAACCTATGAACGTATGATGCGTTCCCTGGGGCTCAAAGAGTTAACAAATAAACTACAATGTACCTATAGTTTTGTTTCTATTTTTGGTTAACTGTCGGATGGCCCATAAAACAATTATTTCATGTTTTGCCGGCCTGCAATATAAATGTGTAAGAGAACATTGTTTTGTAGAAAGACCTGCCTGGGTTAAAGAGAGTTGAAGTTTCATATTCTTAAAATTCTCCATGTGGGTTGTGGGGCCCCATTATTCGTTGGGGGGGGGGGGGGGGGGAAGGTTGGTGAATAGTAGGCCACTGTCTGCCTAATAAGTATGTCACAAGAGTCAATTAATTAGGAGTAATCTTTGGAGGTAGAGTGCATCTGCCTGAGAGGCAAGGAACCAGCAGTCTGCATATAAGTAAGCCATATCTGTAAACAGATGTGCACACCAAATCTAAAGTCTGGAACAGAAGTGGATGAACAACCATAACTTTCTGCTAGAATTTACACGACAAAAAGAAAAGAAGAAAAATATTTATTTAATAATATTAAATTAGTATGAGAAACCAGATTGTATTTTGTATAAATATATTTGCATCTTTTCCCCAGATTTTCCTAGAGGCTTGACACTGTATCTGATGCATGTAGCAGAGATGAGCACAACAGTTCAATGTGAATCCTAACAACCAAGGGGAGTAATGATGTCTACAAGTGGGAAGATAACCTTGACAGGATAAAATACTTTACCGGGCTCTGGTCTTCTTGCCTCTAAACTAGTGAGGCTAATTGCTTCCCTTTATCTAGCCCAAATAGATGCCTGCTCCCACTTTCCCCAGACTGACTTCAACACACATGTGTAGCCTACTTTGGATTATTGTTACTCTGGGTAGTTTTGTTGATGGCTTATTCAGTACTTCTTAAATGGCATGGGTCTGAATTCTAGACTGATATTACTCATGTAATATTATATTTGATAGAAGTGAGTGAACAACAATATCTCAATTTTAAGATCAACAGTTTCTGAATATTGACAAGTGTATTGGCAATTAACAATTGAATACAGTAAAACAATTTTCTGGATCACAAACTTGGATCAGAAATATGTAATCCAAGCAGTAGTTAAAACTATTCTTGCTTCTGTATTCATATTACAAGCACTATAATATCATCAACAAACTGAACATCAGATGAGTTGTACACTGTGAACTGAGGCTTCTGAAAAGTGACTGTGTCTACAGTCTTTTGTGAAAAATCTTTTAGCTGCGAGAAAAATTGTCATGAGTTCTGTGCATGCTCCATCATTTGATATCATGAGGCCGCCAAAACCACCTTGCTGGCGGGATTTTGTCTTGTCCACTTCTAAAGGCATTAATTTTGATGGACTTGACATTAGCGAGCAGACAGAACGGATGCTTGCTGCACGTGCTCCAGTGCAGGATGTGGTTGAGCCAACCAGAGTGGCCGTATCCTTGCCAGGAAGTAGACTTAGTCGTCTAGCTAGGCGACCGAGGGCTAGAATCCACCGCACTAGAAGTGAACATGTCATCCAAGCTGAAGATCTGCCTGAAAGTGAATTCACAGCAACGCTTGCCAACACAGATCCCAAAGGGTTACGAGGCCTTGTGCCTGATGGTCGACTTTATGTTGAAGAAAATAACAGACGGTGCCAGAACTGGTTAGCCAGCATTGAAGCTGCAGAACCACTTGATAAAGTTGACTATACAACAGATCAACAAGCATCATTGCCTGCACATGATGCTGAGTCATTAGATATAGAAAAACGAGATATGAGAACTTTAGGTACGAAAGACATGGAGATAGACTGTTTAAGACAAGCAGGAAACTACCTCATTCCTATATATGAATCGCAGCAGGGAGTTGATGTGGAAGTCCCCGAGGAAACATTTGTTTGGAGTACAGTGGCAAATACTCGACAACAGTCACCAAGTTTGAGAGAAGAATCATGCAGCCCTTCCCGAGAGATCAAACTGAAAGAAGAAAACAACAAAATCTCAGGGAAGCTTCATGACCCACAAACTCTTTTACCAGTTAACTCAAAAAGACTAGACAATTCTGTTGCACAAAATTCGTCTTGTGAAGGCAGTTCCACAAATTTGAGCTCCAGAGTCTTCAAGTGTGGAAAGATATCTTGCGGTAAGAAACTGTATAAGCTTTGCTGTGATTACGAGGATGCTGCTTCTTCTTCATGGAGAGATGCTGATATTCATGGTGATAATGTAAATGGTGTTGTAGATAACAAGAATCATACATCACAGATGCATATACAAGGACATAATGCTTCCATTTTCTCTTCTCCTGCACCTTCAAAGTCACGGCCATATTCAAGATCCTCGTCTCTACCATCTGCAACATGAAAAAATCCAAGCAGATAGTAAAATATTGGCCTTGCGTCAAGCAACCTGTGATGGATATGAATCAAGTCTAATTAATATTGATGTATGCAGATGTGACTCTTCATTAGCTATACGAGTGTGGATAGACTGTTCTTTATTTGTGCAAATAGTATTACTTGTAATTGTATGTTTTTAGTCTAGTCTCAACACTAGATTGTGGGGCCTCAAGTTTGGTGATTGGGGGTAAAAAGAATAGACCCACTGCCTTGCCTTCTCTCCCCCGCACCCCACACCCCACACCCCCTTTTACAAGCATACTGTAAAAGGAAACTAGGAATTTGCTGAAATTGGATGCTTTTCCAAAAATGCAGAAATTGCAGCCTTGCTGTAATATCTTATGTTTAATGTTTAATTAAGAATCGACATCACAGCACTCTGGAATTTTCATAAGATCTTAATCCACATCCTCAACAGCAAGTGGAGAGTTCCAATTTCAATAGCACCAATAACATTCTGATTGTATATCCATCTAGCCTTTTCCCTGAATGTTGATCATTGACCCGATTCCCTTGTCCCTATACACAGCACTATTCTTTTCAGACCAGGGTAATCCATCTGAGCCTCTACACTGTTCACTCACCCTCAAAGGGCCCTTACAGAATCTAGCTTGTCATGCATCAGTTGACCACCAGGTTGTGCAGAACCAGCCAATGTGTCTGCCTGTTTATTTCCTAATACACCAGCATATCCTGTGAGAAAAAATATCCAAAGAACATTAACTACCTGAGACCTCAGATGTGAAGCATTGCATGCTGGACAAGGAGTCTAGGGGGTATCGTTTATATAATGGTCTGTCCTCCACACCTTAACACAGATTCTCCCATGGCTGACCACTCTCCTTGGCACGGCACATGTTGATGGTGATAACTGGAGGTAAACGATGGCCAATCCAAGCAAGAGCACCACTCTACATTACTGAAAACTCATAACACCTTACCATGTACATAAGTACGGTTACAAAAAAGTATGATCCTTCACAGGGCCTCAGTCGTTTTTGTGGACAAAACACATTACGATGAATTAGATGAACTGGTGATCAATGGCTCACTGCCAAGTCTTCTACTGCCTTCCACTTGCACACATTGGCAGTCTCTCCAGACAGGGATAAACACCCCAGCAAATTACAGACTCTCCAGGCATCGACAAACACTCCAGCAAGTTACAGTCTCTCCAGACATGGACAAACTCCCCAGCAAGTTACAGTCTCTCCAGACATGGAAAAAATCCCCAGCAAGTTACAGTCTCTCCAGTCATGGACAAACACCCCAGCAAGTTACAGTCTCTCCAGACAGGGACAAACTCCCCAGCAAGTTACAGTCTCTCCAGACAGGGACAAACTCCCCAGCAAGTTACAGTCTCTCCAGACATGGACAAAATCCCCAGCAAGTTACAGTCTCTCCAGTCATGGACAAACACCCCAGCAAGTTACAGTCTCTCCAGACAGGGACAAACTCCCCAGCAAGTTACAGTCTCTCCAGTCATGGACAAACACCCCAGCAAGTTTCAGTCTCTCCAGACATAGACAAACTCCCCAGCAAACTATGACCCAGGTGCCTGCTATGGACGAGTCACACTATGTGTTGTGCAGTGACAGTATTCTGACGGTTTATCCTCTGAATGATCCCGCTGTGCAAGGACTCGAGATAGATGCACCACTTGATGAAAAACTCCAGACCTCCTATCTGCTGTCCCAGCGACTCACTGAAGCATCACTGACTAAGATACCAATAATCAGCCTCCGATGCCTCCACACCACAACTTCACGTTGGTCAACACACACAAGGTCCACGGCACCTTCTGTGCCCTTACAGATACCCCGTCAACCACGTGCCCCATAGCCGCAACAGGCCGACCTCACAAACACATGGGCCGCACAACCGTCCATTCTGGAAAATCACACTCACAGAATGTCTGTCACACTATCCACCAAAAAACCATTAGATAGTTCACAAAAAGCTCCAGCAGATTAAAAACACTTTGTTAAAATACACCGGACTGGAACAACTCATGCGCAAACACGTCCACACGCCAAGACTGTCTAAAAACTACTGGAAACAACCATGGGACTCCCCCCCCACCCACCATCCACGCTCAGTTACACGTGGATCTCACTTTCCTGCCAACACCCGGGTTTCCCAGCTCACTTGTGCTCTCAACCCACATGAATCACACAACGTCCGTGATGTCTGCAAGACTCATGTCCCCAGTGGGTGACTCTCCATTGTCTTCCGGCGACCCCAAATGTTTACATCCCCACGTTGCTTAGCGCAGCAAAACCTGGCATGTGATATCACAATATCTTGTTTGAGAATGGAGGTTCAGACAGTCATTGCTGGCTTTATGATAAGCTGTACATGCATGTAGTAACTAACTGACTCACAAAGTATGTTGAGAAAGGTGGATCAGGTATACCCCATGTAGAGAGGCAAGCGTTGCTTCTGAGGTCCCAGGTAGTTAGCATCCTTTGGATATTTTCTTCAGGTCATGCTGGTGTGTTGGTAAATGAGCAGACAGATAGACTGGCCAGTTCTGCACCACTTGGGGGTGAATTGATGTATGACAAGCTAGATGTTGTGAGGGCCCATTGAGAGCAACTGAACAGTGCAGAGACACAAATAGATCATTACGGTCGGAAGAAAATGGCGCTGTGGGGAGCTAACAAGAAGATTTCTCCGGCACTCAGGGGAAAGGCAAGACGGATGTGCAGTCAGAATTTAAACTCTTAGCTTGCTGCTGAAGATAGGGAAGGAGCGCTTATGGAAGTGTCTTGAGTACTGCGATGTCAATTCTTAATTCAACATTTTACTTACTTGATTCCAGTTGGGAAATTAAGCTAGGGGAGATTACTCTAGTCACCACGCAACTCATGTTGTTGTTGGCACCTTCACATCTTTCCAGACATAGTATAATACTGTGCTATGAGGAGACCTGGGAGTCTCAGCCCTCGGTGATGGCCAGTATGACCAACAAGACCTGCCTACTGGTAGAGAATTCTTCCACGTTTAAAGCATGAGATTTCAGGACCTTTGATGCCGGCACATGTATTTAGTGTGGTTCATCTCAGATCTCCTCTCCATAGCAAAAAGTCTTGGCAGTATTATAGAGACTATGTGTTGCCTATGCATCACGATCCTTCACTCACCTGCCTTGTTTACTTGAGAGGAAAGGTAACATGTATACCTTTGAAACAAAGTATGCTATAGAAACTCATGGGTCTGTAAAGCAGTACTGTGTATGACTAGATTGTAAATTTAGCGTCTAAATGGCGATAGATTGTTTTTTTTCCCTATAGGACAAATGTACAGTAAAGATAGCGTCTAAATGGCGATAGATTGTTTTTTATTTCTTATAGGACAGATGTACAGTAAATTTAGCGACTAAATGGCGATAGAATGTTTTTTTCTTATAGGACAGATGTACAGTAAAGATAGCGACTAAATATTGAACAATTTAGAGAAGCAAGATAATGGTTCCCAAAAGGAATATGCACATTCTAGAGCTTGCAACCAATGTTTATGAATATGAAGAAACCAACATCTTATTTGATCTCTTATTCCCTGATAAAGCACAGATCTCCAGTAATCTTTGCCAAATTGTTCATGCTTTTTTTTTGAGGGGAGGGGGGGGGGGGGGGGGGATTTTTGGTTTTACAGCTGCACTTTACTCTAAGATAAGGTAGTCAGTCTCCTGACAGCCCTACATAATTGTCTCTCATGGCAAGCATGGCAGTTTAATCTGCTTACCTCTATGGTTTTGTCACTACACAGCTGATACAAATACTCAGTCACATGATACTCACACAAACACAAAATACATTCACGAACCCACACATACAGAGAGAGAGAGAGAATTAGAGAGACCCCCGTGTGGGTTCCGGGGCCTTATTGTGAGGAAAACAAGAATAGACCCACTGCCTCCCCAAAAGCATGTCGTAAGAGTCGACTAACTGGGGAGCTTCCTCTGAAGTCGGAGTGCATCTGCCTGAGAGGCAAGGAACAAGCAGTCTACATTCAATTGAATCAGATCTGTAAAACTGATGCACACGCAACACTCAGGTTCTGGAGCAGGACTCCAGTCCAGAAGTGGACGAACAACCAGAACTTTACGCCAGAGTGTACAGCTGGTGAACGCGAAGAAGAAAAAGAATTAGAGAGAGAGATAGATGAATAGACTTGAAATGTGTCTATATAAATTTTACTAACCGTATCTAACTATTAGAAAATTCAAAACCAATAACACACATATTATGGTTTTCAGATTCTATTTTTGGCAGCAGTATATTATCAGTTGGTCAGTTTGTATCAAGTCAGTAAGATGATGGTGGCCAAACAGGCAGATTATCCACCTCACACAAAAATGGAATAGAATCCATAAAAGCATGGCGACTAATCCTTGCCTGATGGCCCCAGTGTCAAGGTGTTGAAATCTGCAAGGAGTATTTTTGGGGTCAGAGTTTACCTTGGCTTCCAGTTTGACCAGTCATGTGATGTCATTGTATGTGAAGGCCACTTGCATAACGCTGACCACATCACCCGTCTCGAGTGCTGATTGGTCTCTACAAATAGAGATAAAAATATGCCCAAAAGCGCTGCTGTGATGTTATGGCAACATGCTCGCATGCAGATCAAAAAGTCATGGATTTGGGTCCTGAGGGAGCCACATTTTTTAAAACAGAAGAAAAAAAAGTACTTAGCTGCCAGGTCAACCAGGTAAATTCCTGGGAAGTAAATTCAGCTGGCATGATGTTGAACATGTCACCCACTGAGTGCTTGATTGATAAAATGTAGGTCTAGCCCTATATGCCCAATATACCTGAAGGCATGGAACAAGGGCCATTACAATGTGCCCAGTGCGCCAAACACAGGGTCCTGCACTGAATCGTCTGTAGTACAGGTTTTGTAATGTAACTACAGTGGTGATTAATCTGGACAGTGAAATATCTAACTGTAAACAAAACAGCA